GCATTCATCTTCCCTCTGTTTCCTAGAATTCAAAAAGTCCTCCGGAAGATTCGTCAGGACAATGCGGATGTGATTATTGTCTTACCGTGGTGGCCGAGGAGACCGTGGTTTCCACAACTGCTCCTTATAGCTCTGGATCACCCGATCAAATTACCACTGATTCCCAACCTACTATCTCAGGGACCTCTCATGCACCCCAACTTGAAAAAATTATCTTTAACGGCATGGAGATTGAAAGGCAGATCATGAAAGGAAAAGGCCTCTCTGAGAAAGCAATTAACACTCTGTTGGCTTCTAGAAAAACCTCCACCTCCAATACATACTACAGAATTTGCAACGTATTCTTTGACTGGTGCAATACTCACGGAGGGAATTTTCTCCAACCTGCCTCAGAATCCATAATAGAATTTCTACAACAGGGACTTGATAAGGGACTCAGTCTTAATACTCTGAAAGGACATATTTCGGCTCTATCTGCTCTAACTTCAGTACGATGGGCTTCTCATCCCTTAGTAATCAGATTCATTCAAGCCATTAAGCATCTCAAACCTAACTGCAGAGACAAAGTACCTCCATGGGATCTTCCTCTTGTCTTAAAGGTGTTGATGTCTGACCCTTTTGAACCTATTGAGGAAATTCCTCTAAGCACTTTAACCTTAAAAATGGTATTGCTACTAGCAATCGTATCAGCCAAAAGAGTATGCGAGCTACATGCTCTTTCCATATCTGGAAAAAACCTCTCTTTCTTTGCTGACAAAGCGGTATTTAAACTGGAGGATAAATTTCTCCCCAAAGTGGTTTCAGATTTCCACCTTAATCAACTGGTGGTATTACCTACTTTTTTTCCAAATCCTCAAAACGAAGAACAGCTCTCATGGCATAACCTGGATGTGGTCAGATGTCTCAAATGTTATCTGAAAAGAACAGAAAGTATCAGAAGTACTACAGCTCTTTTCGTATTTCCGGAAGGAATCAGGAAAGGGAAAAAAGCTTCAAAAAACATCCTAGCCAAATGGATCAAAGACTGCATCAACAGAGCATATTCTCTTACTGATAAGGCTAGTCAGAGACTTTAAGGGCTCATTCCACCAGAGCATTATCAATGTCTTGGGCATTCAGGGCTCAGGTCTCTTCAGAGGAGATCTGCAAAGCAGCTGCTTGGTCTTCAGTGAACACCTTCATATCTCACTATAAAGTTGATGTATTCTCAGCGGCCCAAGCTAATTTCGGGCATAAAGTTCTGGAGGCTGTTTCAGCTACATAATAAAATCTTTTTGCATTATCCCCTCCCTTGTTATTAAGCTTTGGTATTTCCCTTGAGTGACCACTGCCATGTGAGGATCAGGAAAACAGAAAATCTTAAACATACTTACCGAAATTTTCCTTTCCTGATCCGTAACATGGCAGTGGTCACGATCCCTCCCCATGATTCTCCTCCAACTCCAACAGTATAATAAAGACGAGGTGGGAGTCTTGGGGGGGGAGTTTTATTTGCTTGCTACTTCCTGTCCTCACGTGTCAACAGGTGTTAACCCTTGAGTGACCACTGCCATGTTACGGATCAGGAAAGGAAAATTTCGGTAAGTATGTTTAAAATTTTCTGTTATCTGCCATTTCCAACTGCTATTATTTCCAACTGCCATTTCCAACTGCCATTTTCA